ATATTTTAAACAGCTTATAGAGTATAAAATTCATTTGGTTGCTTTGCATCTTTTCACAGTGCAGGAATTGCTCTTGGAAAAAGTAATCAAATGTAATAAGTAACATTACTTTGATGAAGTAATTCAAATAGCCTAGTTACAGTTTTAACAGGGTAATTAGTCATCTGTACCCTATTGCCTTCTCAAAATAACCTTCCCAACACTGAGCACTACTGCTACTGTTTATTTATTAAACAAACAAGAACAACAACAAAACAGGTTCCATTACATTTACACTGTAGCTAGTTATAGTGAAAGTGATACTTTACTTAGCCATAAATCAGACCCAATGTAATGTGACTCTGGTCAATATAAGCTTTATGATCATGCCATATGACACGACGCTGTGAAGACGTCGCGGCGGTTTGTCGAACTGTTACGTTCCTTCTTCGGTCGCCAGGTTACGTTGTTAACGTTGTGAGCACGTACTTGTTTTGCTGGCACCGTTAACGCCCACTTTAGGTATTGCTCATTTTGCGGAGCGGCAGCCCCATTCATAGGGCTAGTAGGCAGGCAGGCAAAGCGCAGGAGCGGCCAAACACCATCACCGACGTAGTGTGCGAGCCAAATGATGGTCTCTCACTGAACAACACCAGGCCAGGTTCGACTGCGCGATCGCTACCAGCCGCTGCGACATCGGACCAAGTCAAACCGAAACCATCCTGTCAGGAATGGGATTTGAATGTCTTGATTGAATACTGGAGGTCCTCTCCTGCGCTCTCGACCTGCCGCGGAAATAGAAAGACTTCCTAGTCGCCTGGATCCTCATCGCTGCCGCAAACCGGCCACTCTCCCTCGGCTCATTTAACCCAGGCTGTCCGCGGACCACTGGCTCTGGCATCTGGACACATCGGAACCGGTCTATCCGTCGTTGAAGATACGGAAACGTGCCTGTGTGTGCTTTTGCTGCCTGTATAATGCCGACACATTTGCGGATCCGGAGAAGGTCATTCCTTGGGCTTTTATTCCTTTTTTCACTGTCCACCTCCGCATTGTATTTCATCTACTCCGCCCCCGGAATCGGTAAGTGGAAACAAACCTGATGATGTTATTTCCAACACTTAAAGACGTTAGGATGAAGTGATGGTTGTGTGTATGGGCCGTTAGGTCATGTGTGACAGCTCGGATTGGGAGTGTAGACAAGCGAAGGGGCCATGCGCCTCTTCTGAGCCCTGATCTCGCCCAATCGATGATGAGACTCAGCTGGATGCTGGAACTCAATCCCATAATATCCATGTACCTGACCATGGTAATAATAGTGCTACTTAGGAGCATCACGGCCACCATAATCATGCTGATGTTAGTAGGCCTGACAGCTATGATTATCATGCTTATTGTGACGACTGGGACCATGGACAAAATATGGTATTTTGGTTTTGATTTAGGGTTCATTGGCAGTCATTAAACAGTAATACTTGAACCATGTGTGTTTCACAACTCTCACCCTGCCTGACTGTTTGTAAGGCTGGGTAAAGGTCACATCATGAGTCATGGATTCAAAGGCCCTAAATAATATTAGTGAAGTCAACCTGAGCAGAGATCACTGACAACAAATCACTCCTTACTGCCTGTATGTCACATGCAGTTGTGTAATATCACATGTCCTGAATCCCTGTTATCATTAATTCATCAATGTATCATCATCCCCTCCCTACTGTTTTTTTCCATCACCTTTTGTCTCTTTCATTGAATGTGCACACATGTGTGTCACCAAGAATCTTGTTGAGTGTCTCAGTCTCATCTTTTCTTGGTGACCTCCCCAGCCGAAGCTATGGTTCACTCTTCCTATCACCTACAGCCATTCATGCTTGCTATTTTGGTCATTATCACCCATGTGACGCCCAAACATCAGTCACTTTATTGTAGCTTAACAGGCACGGCTTATCTTGATGCATGGCTTTTATTGTAAAATTGGGACTTTCACCTGACTCTGTCCTTGACTCGGTGCCAGTCAGATTTGTGATAGCTTTTCACAGAGTGGGTGTAAAAAACTAGATGAGCGTGCAAATGTGCAGCAATAACATGCTCGCTAATGTTCTTCAATCGTGGGGAACATTCACGAGGAAATATGTGAGGAAACACAAGGTACAGTTAAAATTGGCCACTGGGAACTTTTTTCTATATACTGCTTAAGCCACCATTGGTTGGATATCCTGTTGTGCTTGCTGAACAGGCGTGCTTGGCAAGGTTGGGCTTCCCTGAGACATTGTTAAGTGGTATCTGCTCCGTTTAAAATATTCCACTACATGGCATGAATCATCTATCAGAGCACAAATACAATAGAACAGTATTTGAGTTTACACAAGAAAGTAAAAACACATTTACAGTCAATGGGAGCAGGCTTGTCACTGTCAAAAATGAGAGCCTGTCATTTTTTGGAGTGACTGTGTGAGTGAAATAGTGTTTCTGTCATACTAGTGCAGCCTTTCTAAAACACCAAAGAGAGAGCTGGTCCTTCTTACTCATCAAAATGGGTATTGACCCATTCACGCTTTTTACTTGCTGTGGACAACTTAATCAATAATTAAATCAATTCTCATGTGGAGGACACATTACTGACAGGAATAGCCTGCGTAAGTCTCCGTAACAGAGAGCAATGATTCCTCTAAATGTGAAACAAATAAACAAATAAATCGTTGAGCAACCGGGATAAAAATAATCTGTCATTCACGTGTTCACTATTTTTCAAGTATTGATGGTGTCTGGTAACTGACTGAGAGCTGCTCTTGGCCGTGTCCGTCCTCCTGGGTGTTGACTATTGTAGGGCTCTAATGGCCACGTGGTTTACTGGAGGGTTAGTTCAGAAACACAACAAGGACCAGCAGCACCAGTCCATTAATTATAGATGGTAACCAGGAGCAAGGCAGCTTCTGCTGCTGTTACTAAAAGCTACAGTTAAGTCTTTTACACTTGGGGTGCCTGGTAGAGAGCTAGCAGCAGGCCTAATCAGGAAAAGCAGGTGGGGGTTGGAGGATGGTGTTTAAAGGAAATAGTTTCAATTTTTTTGGCATGAGGTGGTATGATTTACTCACTGGCTGTGATATCGATGCATGGGCATTAGCTGGGGTTTCAGATCCTGTGGTCAGAGATGCACTAGTGAGCCACAGCTTGTCAGACAGAGACAAACAGCAGCAAATGCGGCCTGGTAACAAAAACATTTTGAACCACAGCACAGCATTAGCAGTGGATTTAACTATCCCCAACAGAATACATCAAGTTTATGTGCAGAAATAGCCCTCAGACCTCTCGGTAACACGGGCCTATTGGACAAGGAATAATCCAAGCATCAGACACATACAATGAAGTATTTTTTTGAGGGTGTTTGAAAAGTATTTGGTGCTGTGTTGGTCACCTGTTAAGTGTTATTGAAAACAAACTACAGCCTAGCCAGGACATCTTCCACATGATCATAGCCTGAGCTAATGTCCATAAATCAATATGATATACTTCCATTAGGTGACTTAAACTACAAAACTGCATGTCTACCCTATAGAGGTCATTGTCAGAGTGGGCTTCACTACCAGTGAGTGGACTCTTCACATCATTTTAAACATTATAGTAATATAGGGCTGGATGATATGGAGAAGATCAAATATCACATTATTTTTGACCCAGTACAGTACCCTAAAAATGGATATTGTGACGATACTATAGGGCTGACTGTTGGTGCCTTCAAAAGACGATATCTAGTCTCATGTCGTGATATCGATATAATATGCTGCTCAGCCCTACTATACTGTGCTGTAGCACCATAAATATCCTAGCAAGAGAATGATCATTCTAGTTTTCCCTGTTGACATAAAGCATAAAATGTGAATTTGTTAAGTTAACAACAAAAATCTCCCATCATGGGTCTTTTCAGATCACATCAAATGAGGAGTTCTGGCCACAGATGTGTTAGATACAGCGTTGTATGACGACAGCCACACTTTGAAGGTGACCAGATTCACTGAAGGAGATTATATAGGAGGGGACACTGCAAATAATTAGTAGAATAATTCAGAGTAAAACAAAGTAATAGAAACATGGAAAAGGGCAAGAGGAGGGGGGAAGCGGATAGGGAAGGATGAAAGAGATGAGCCTAGCTCCTTTCCTTCTGCTGGTTTGCACATCGGGGAACCCATCCAGAACACCTGAGCAGGGCTTCCTATGATACCCAGGTGGCTTTGGTGCAGAATGCCCCAATTTCACAGCTTAGTCCATTTCCCTCTCTCTCTCCTCCCGTCTGCTTACGTCTCTCTCTCGGTTTCTCTGTCTCCATGTACTCATATGCACTGACACCCCAGCCTCTATGTTGCCCCCGAGCATGGATGCTGACTGATGCAGGCTGGGGATGCAGGGCACAGCTGGGTCTGATTGCAGCAGTTTATTTAATTAAAACATGAGAGAATCCCACTGGAGCGAGGGCTAGGGAAGACACAGGCTCTATTTATAGGTTCGAACGCAGATACACACACACACACACACACACACACACACCCCTCCATATCCGGTGAGAGCAAGTAAGACAAGAAGCCAGGTGCTTCCCTTTGTCTCTGGAGACCAGGCTCATCCTCTCATCTGAATGGCTATATGTGTACGTGTGTGGATGTAAGGCTCTTGTATATCTATCTGTAATACTGTAAATGTCTCATATCGTGCAACAGATTTCTTTCCAGGTGTGGCCTGCTGGCTGGCAGCCAGTACTGTCTGTCAGGTTGCTTCACGGTGTGAAGCAATGCAGACACATGGATAGGATGGAAGTTAGAGATCTAGCGCGGTTTTAAAATAGTTTCATGCGTACCGTACTTTGTCAAACAGTACAAAGGTGAGCTGAGGATATCCTTAGACAGTTGCCACCTTGACATGACAAGTTGCAACAAAACAGTTGCTAACAGCAATATAGACGTTTTTATGTGTTTAGTAAGTAGAAATTTGGCTTTGAGGCGACCTTACGTTACCTTTGTAGCTCTTTCTTCGTGTCTTGACAGCTACACATGCCTCGTCTACCTGTCATCCTTTCCTCAGAACCATAGTGAGGCGCAGACTGCCAGTAAGTACATGTCTCAGAAGCAAATGATAGCCAAAGCCTTTGGATGTAAACACACCTCCTACTCTTACAGCGAGGAAGTAATTGCATATCTGCAGGTGTCATGTCTTCGAGTTGGTCTGCCTCATCAGCAGGTATTACACGGAGAATAACTAATGATAAACACACTCTCTGCTGCCCTGTGCAATTTTGTACGGCCCTTATTTTCAGGCTTTTGAGAATCTGCCTGCCATTTTGAATGCAGATTGATAAACCCAGTGTTAATTATGTGGTGTGCCGAGTATGTTGGCGTCAAACTAACATCAGAAAATATAAAAATGCTAACACATTGGATGGCTTACATAAGTAATACATAAACTACCTGTGACACCCATGTGAACATCAGCCTTTGACTGCCAGACATCCCACTGAAGTGTCCCTACCCTGCTTTTACAGCTTGCTATAACACTGTTGTATTCTGGGGTATCTACAGTGTATGTCCTTTGCTTAAAACTGATGAAATATGCCCAGTGAAAACTTTAATAAACCTAAGTGTGGATCAGGGATGGGACAAATGATTTATATTGCAGTATATCTTGAATCAGTCTCTTGCGAGACACAACAGCACTGGCACCTGTGTAGCATTCTCTCAGAATAATAAGGCAGAGGTGTGTCCTTCCTTTGCTGAGGACATTTAAGCTCTGGGTCTGCTTTCTGTAGCTTCAGCCTATTGACAGCTTATGGCTCGTTGACATTTAAATGATGTCATGTGTATACCTGTTGTACGTGTGCTCAAATTTCCTGTCATATAGTCTGATAATTAAATGCTGAATGCTCTCTCGATCTTCCTACCTTAAGGGATTACTTGGTGGAGAACAGCACAAGGACCGCACCTTTGATTTAAGCTTGTGCTGTGTTATCACTGTCATGACAGAGATATTCCAGGCCTGCTCTGTGCTATCACTTTCTCAGTCCTAATGGCGCTGTTTTCTTTCCCTTCACTACTCCTGGCCAT